AGCTTTTTATTAATATTATTTAGAAATGAGTATAACTTTGAGCTTCATTAAAACCAAATGTTTAATTGCATTCATGGATATCAGATTTATTGATTTACTTAACTTTCCCTGTATAGTACAGCAGAATAATATATCACAGTTTCATAAAATGCTGTCCTAGCCAAGTTTTACTTCAGCATCACAATTTCTCAGACAAGTATGCATTGATGGTTTATGTTGGCAGGGCCTTTGCTTCTGCTGACAAGTTGGAAAAGAGAAATCCCATTTATATTTTGAGATTTCCTAAAGCCTGTTGATTTATAAAATACGACTGGCCTTGCATTAGGCTTTGTTTTGTTTTTTTCTTTTTAAGAGAAAAAAAATATCACATTTGACATTATCGACAATTTAAATAGTGAAATTATTCCATCAAATTGCATTTCCCTAATTGAGAGATTCCTGGCAAGTCTCACAGCAATTAATAATGAATTAATTATTTAAATTATGTTTTAATCTCTTTTTCTTTGGGATGGAGGGAGTTCTTTCATTACAGACCATCTCATAGACACATTCCCTGTGTGTCCATGTCATATAGTAGGCAAATACCAAGGAGTTGTTTGTGTTTAGAGCAGCAGTGTGGATGTGGTTTATTTGGTGCTGACCACCAGACATGAGCAGGGTTCGAACTCTGTTGAGAGGTAGAGTAAAATATTAGCTCAGGATCCAGACCACACTGGAGCTGCTTCCAGTTGGCTTAGAGCCTGTGAACTGATGTCTGGACATACTGTATGATATAGATTTTTTTTTTTTCCTCCTTCTCTGCTACCAGTGATGAAAAGAACAGCCTGATAGGGCTTGAATTGTCTCTTGTCTTTCCTGCCCAGCTCATTTGCAAGATTTTTCTGACTCCTCAGCATCACTGTGATTTGGGACTGAAGAAAACAGAGATATCGTGAATAAGATACCTAGAGACAAAAAAAAAATAAATATATGTAGTTCATATTGAATTTTTCCCAAATATTTATAATCTTGGGAATTCTAGTGGTCTTTTGCCTGGTAGAGGTAATGTTAGAAGTCCCACAGATTTCAGTATAAGAAGTTTATCTTAAAAAAACAACCACTGCTCAAGCACTCAGAGAGTTGCTGAAATCCTTCTGAGGTTCCTTGTATCACTTTTGTTTGGGATCTGTAGTTTAATATACTATTTGTCACATTGCAAAAACATTATGTTATTTAACATTAATGCCTCCTGAAAAAAGGGAAAAGTTGTACTGTTTTGGTCTGGGGGACAGAGGCTGACTCAGGAGTGTGGAGAACCATGTTCAAGAGGAAGACACAGAAATGGTGTAGGAGTTAACAGAGGGTTTGTTGAAACACTTGACAAAAGTGGAAGGAAAAAAGTAGCTATGGATTTATTTTATTTGCATCAAGTTCTTAGTACTGAATGTCTGGTAGGTATTAATCTTACCTAATCTAATCCTGCCACACCAAAACAAAAAAGAAAGAAACCATAGCTTTTGACTGGTTACATTTTTAAGGTGCTGTGCTTGGCGCTGATCATTGGGGGGAAAAAATGCAATTGTAGGAAAAGAAAATTAGTCAAACCCAGAGACCTGGCCAAAATAATTCATATTTGATATTCATTATCTTATTACAGATGGTCACAAGCCAAGTGCTGATATCCTGTAGGCAGGACTCAAAGGATAAGTGTGCATTAAATGAAAAGTATATCTTCCTTTATGCTGAATCTGCAGATTATTTTCTTTTACCATGAGATTGCTTCATACACAAAGGTGGAACTGTTCTTAAAGGCTCATGCTGTCACCTGGGATGGGAGTCTCAGTGGCCGCCCTGGCTCTGGCGTGCTCAGTAGAAAACAAAATTAATCACTCTTGTATCTGATCATTTGTCCATATTCTTTGCAGCTAAAGAAAAAGATGGATAAAGAAATGGTAATTTAGTTATGTTAGACAGTAGCTGGGTATACAAAGGGTGCATTGGAAACCTGGTATTGATGTGACATGTTTTGGCTAGGAACTCTTGACATCAAGACGCTGGCTCTTAAAAAAAAAAGAAGAAAAAAAAAAAAGAAACCACTTTATCCAGTAAGAGGATACTACAAAGTCTCTCCCTTTCTAGTGTAAATAATAAAATTATTTAATTTTTTTATTATTATTCTATTTTTTTAAGGTAATATTGTTATTCTATTTTAAGATATTATTATTATTCTATTTTTTTAAGGTAATATTCTAAGCAGGGAAAAGTTTAATTTTAAAAATAAAACCCTTCATGGTTTTAAGTTAGTTTTGAGTTGTCAGTAAAGGGAGGTGGTCAGGCTGGCCCATTTCAAACAGTCACTAATGAACTTCTGCCTCCATTGCTGGTTCCAGCTGCCTCCCAAATTAAAAGATTAATTGCACAAGGGAAAGACAACAATCCGTATTTGATTACGCTGATTACAGAGTTGCTGATTATTGGAGTAAAGGGAATATGTTGTCCTAGTTTCTTAAATTCTTCAAGGAATAGGGCAGATCTGAAAATAATTTAGAACCGTAGGGTGTAAGGTTACTGAAGTCATGGGGTGACCTGCTGGGAGGTCTCTCATATGTCACACGTGCTGTGATGTATCCGAGCTGTAGCTACAAGGGTTGCTGTGATAAATCAGTCCTGCTCTTCCAACTGTGATCCATCATACACAGCATGTCTGTGCGATGGGTAAATAATATATCTTACCTGATTTGCCAAGAGTACTCGGGAAGCTGCAAGGGAATTATCAGACCCTGATTCTCAGTTCAGGTCAGCAGAGTGGGCTCCTTTCACCAGAGATGCTCCTGCGAATGCTGTTGCACAGCCTTTTTAATATCATGGGTTTACAGTCTTTTTTCTTTTTTTTTGATCTCTTGGACTTGTAACTGTTCTAGCTAACAGTGAAATGGTCATCTGTTGGCTTGGCTGAACTGATGTTAATGATGATTTGTAGCAGTTAGCTTGGAAGGAAAAATTCAGTTAACTGGTCAGGAGGCAAAGGCTTTGAGGTTGTTCATCATATCTTGCTAAGAATCGAATAGCTAGGGCAGCTTTTTCCTAATAATTTTACTTTTTATTTTTAAATCAGTCTTTATGGTGTCATTAACCTGCTTCCAAGTCCTTCCTCTTTTTCCTTTTTTTTTCTTTTTTCTCTTTTTTTTAGCTTTTCTGCAGAATTATATAGAGACACATATCGATCTCACAATAGTTGTAATATCTTACCTTTGTTGCAGTACAGACAGAAATAAAAAGAGCAGACACTTCCTAGACACCAAAAAGACACACTAGTAAAATACAGCCAGCTTTCAGCTGAAAATAATTGCTGTTTAATAGCATATATAGAGAGTGTAGAGCAGTTTAGAGGAGGAATTGAGGAAGAAAACCTTGGCCAATTAAAAGTTGTGTGGAATTCCAGGTGGGTAGATTGTAATTATTGCTGCTG